CCCCAAAACCCCAAAACCCCAAAACCCCAAAACCCCTATTTCTTCTGAGATATTGAAATATCTTCATAAATCTCATGACAACTCTACAAACTTCTCTTGATATCTCCTTTGTTATATTTGGTCAAGAGGTATAACCAGAGGGGCTGGTTGTACCAGGTTCCTCTATCGACTGTTCTCCAGGGCCTATTATTTTTCGTATCGACATAGATAGAGTCTGCCTGTTCTAGTTGAGCCTCCAACTTCTGCTTTTTCTTTGGATTATCTCTAACTTGAGTGATATCTCTCATAATCTTCAAGCTATTTAATAATGAATCCATAGAGCTTACCTGCTAGTTAGAGCAACATCTGATGGTTCAATTTCAAACGCCTGTGTACGTTTATTTTGAGAAATATAAAGTCTCAAACTGGCGTGACTCTGTTAGGTAAAATACACCTAATAAGGTATCTTGGCTGTATTTTCGAATATCATTTCTAAGAGAAGCATGCAAGAATGCTAGTCCACCAATACCTCCCAAGAAAAATAATGGGATACCTGTGGTTGCAAGGAGAATCCCTCCTTTGATTACGTAGAGACATGAAAGAAGGTTCAGAATTTTTAGGTATGTCAGAGACCTGAATACAGATCTCACCACTAGTCTGTCTATCTCCCAGATGAGGATCCTTTGGTTGCTGTTGTGTAGCTTTTCAAAATCTTCTTCTGAAAGAATAGCTTCTCTTTTGGCCTTGATAAACTCCTGAACATGCTGCTCTTCCTTTTCTTTACTAATGGGATAATGAGGTTTTTGATCTCTATGAAGATTATCACGAAATTTACTGTTCATATTTAAGAATTTTCTTTGTTTCTTTAAATGAGGGCCCTTCCATAGCATTTCTGATGCTTTTGTAATTTTCACGTAATTTAAAACTTGAAGAAGCTTCTTTGTCATGAGCGATTTGGTTCACATTTTTCTTTGGCTTCTTCTTGAATTCTTTCGAAGAAGTATAATCTTTTACCCTAGAGTAGTTGTTGACGCAGAACGATCTGGATCCTACTATATGTAGGCTTGCTTGCTTCAGTATGACATGCTGTTTAGTAAGATTGGTTCAGAGCATTTTTATTTAAAAGTGAAATTAATTTCTACAACCACAACTATATTATAAGGGGTTTTGGGGTTTTGGGGTTTTGGGGTTTTGGGG